AGATGAGCTTAAGTAAGCAAGGTGCCAAGTGTCACAAATCCATTGGATGTTGGATTTGACCAAGACCTTCTTAACTTTCCTAAAATCAATTTTGACTCAATTTTCTCTCATTTTTCTTGTGTCTTGGCTGAACCTCTTGAGGAGGAAAACAAGAGAGAGCTCTTCAATTTCTAGCTTCCAAATTTGCTCAAATCTTGAGTTTCAACCAACCAAATTACAAACCACACCATACAAGTGATCATTAGGGAAGGTTAAAGGTGTTGGTGGAGTTGTTTTGGAGGAGGAAAGATTAAGCTCCAACCTTTCTTATGATTTTAAGGTATTTTGTCTAGAATATCCTCTTTACTTCAATTAATTGCTTATTAGTGGTTTTTAGTTGCTTTAAATGTTGTTTTGTGGAAGATTAACACTTGAATGCATGAATTCCAGCTTGAATGATAACTTGCCCTGCTTCTGCCCGGTTCTATGTCACCTTGTTAGAAGTTGAACTAGCCTTAGTACAAAACATAAAAGTTGTAGAGAATAATGTTTTATAGTTGCCTGCAAAATTTCAGCTCAATCGGAGTAACGTAACCTGTGAAAAGACCGAAATACCCCTGCTACCTTGTTTCTGTCCGAAAATGAAAATCAGCCTCTGTAAGTGGTTAGTTTGACCAGGAATATTACCGAATTGGTTGATGATGTCTTCTTAAGAATTATAGCCTTGTATTTTAGCTTTCAAATGACTTTGAAATTACCTGAATTGGAGTTGTTTGTGCTGAGATATGAGTGAATAAAGCAGGACTGCTAGTTGATTTCCACAGTGAATTCGAACTGGAAAACCTGGAGATGTTTTGGTAAATTTGACCTAGTTAGGATGAGAACTGGACTGAGTGGTCTTCATGAAAGTTGTAGGTCTTTGTCTTAGCTTTTCAACGCCTCCAAGAACGTCTTAAACAGACTTTGGTAACCTGCAATATGGCCATTTAAAGGTAGTATGGTTAATTAGCCGATTAGTTGGAACTTGGTTCTGGGAATTGGGAATTTGACTAGGTTACACTGGCATTTGGACTTAGTGGTCTTCATCAAAATTATAGCCCTTTGTCTTATCTTCGAAACGGTATAAATTACATCTCAATCCGATAAGCATAGCTTCGGATGTGTCCGTTATGCAAAACCCGTCAAATCTGTCTTTTGTTAAACTTCATTTCTGCACATGTTGTTAGCTTGATTTTGTACTTATATGACTTTGAACCTATGGAATGGCTACTGAAATGAGATGATATTGTGTGTGACTTTGGGATTGATTGAGGAAAATAATGAAACCATAAATGGCTGGAAAAATAGGTAAATACAAATGGCGTGCTGCCCCAATTTTCGCTCGAGGGCTAAGTTTCTATTTGAATTTTTATATTTTTGTTTGGTAAATACTATGACCGTTTTCCATCTTAAAACATGATCCTTCTTCAATTGAAAGCTCAAAATGTTTACTTACGCTTACCAAATAAAAAGGAGTGGTTTAGGGTTTTCTTGGGTATTTTGTCCTCCCTTTTATATGAATTTCATTAAGACATTTAGTCTATAATATCTACTTGAATATGAGATGATTTTGAACCATATAAACGATTCCGAAAACAGTATTTCTTAGCCTATCTAGTTGGATTCCGACTTGTCTTTGGTTCAAGTGTTTCCATTGGAAAATTTTATAATCCTTTTGAGTTGGGTTTTACGTTTCGACTATGAAACTCTAGTTATTTTTGTCCATGGGTCCAAATGTCATCGTTTCACTTTAAAGTCTTTTATACGTTCTACTCATCAATTGTCGAGTTCTTTGATTTCACCTAATTGTTTGTGTTAGATGAGCTGTAATATTCTTTCTTGTTTAATCTTAGGTTTTCTTGGTGACTAAAGATAATATTCGAAAGGATATTTTGCATGTTGTTTTGCGTATATAGGTGAGTGTTCCTTGTTTGTTATATTTTCTTGACTTATTGGCTTGTTATTATTGATTGATAATGTGTTAAGTGCTTTCAATGATTGTTAAAACGAGTTTTCTTGGCGAGTGTGTACTTTATCGCACTCGACCTAAATAAATGTGAAATTTTCAATGATTAAATGATTAAATGCTAGTTGCGCATGAATGTAAGCCGTTTGGCTGAACTGGGCGCTGCCCTTCGTTACCGATCGACTCGAGCCAGAAGCGGACTCGGTTGGGCGATACGGTGACCCTGGGTGTGAACGTTGGTATACTCGAGTATTATCTTGTAGGTTGGTGGAGTCTGGCCAACGTCCAGGAGGGGGTGAATGAAATGAAATGAACGAACGAACGAGGGTTTTACTTACAAAATGCATTTTCAAATAATTGGAGGAATAAGGGGAAATGTCAGGAGAACGAATGAACGAACGAAAGCATGGCTCCCTGTGAGCCAATATCCTTTTAATGAATGTGTTATTATCGCTTTCCATTGTAAATGTTTCTTGAATTATTGATACTCTATGTTTAATGTATTGGATTGATTGTTTGGTTATGTGTTCGGAACCTCACTGAGTTTTTATCTCATCCTTTTAGTTTTATTTTCCTTAACAGGGAAGGCGAGACAGGACGGGAGTTTTGGATAGACTAGCCTAGACTAGTTTCTTGGTTTTCTTTTGTAATGGTTCTCGCCCTAGTGCTTGGCACGGGTTGGATGTATGAAGAATTGAGAATCTTTGTATATTCGATGTTTGTACTCTAATGTATATAAGTTTTGCGATAAGTTTTGGATTGTCGTTATATTTTTTTTCTGTGATTTATTTCGATTTTAATTGAGGACTGAAGTGAACGACTGAGTCCCGGCGAGAGCTGGACAGACAGTCCGCCGAATCCTCTGGTTCGCCTGTTATGGTCTGGAGTAGAAATTATGTGATTGATAGGTGAAAGATAATGGAACGAAGATTGAGAGAGAGGGAAAGAGGGAACAGACGAGAGAGAGAGAGAGATGAAGAGAGAGAAAGTGAGAAAGAAGACAACTGAATCTGTTATTCCTGACTAACTGTACCATTGGGTCCCACACGTATATATTCAACAATTAAGCCTAACCGCCTTTAACTACCGTTTGAATATACATAATTGGAACGACATCGTTCTGCCCAAAAATCCCTAATCCGCTGACCCAATTTGCTGATCCAATTACCCGAAACCTAACAATTCCTCCCCCATAACCTCAGACTTGTCCTCAAGTCTGAAACTCAGGAAACTGGTTCTCAATGAAGGTCTTATCCTCCCACGAAGCTTCATCATACCCCAAGTGATTCCATTTGATTAAGAACTGGATGACAGGCCTTTCCTCACGCATAATAACCCTTCGCTTTAAAATAATCTCTGGTTTTAATGGACATTGGTCGCGCTCGTCTAGCTCAGGCAGCTTAGGAGAGCTGCATTGTAGTGGCCCAAGCTTCTTTTTCAACAGGGACACATGGAACACAGGATGAATTCTTGCATTTGCTGGTAGTTTGAGCCTATATGCCACTGCTCCCACTTTCTCCTCCACCTGGAATGGACCATAATATTTTGCTGCCAATTTGAGACATTTCGTCACTGCTACAGTCTGCTGCCTATAAGGTTGCAGCTTCAAGAACACCCAATCTCCCTCAGAAAAACTCCTCTCAGTCTTGTGCTGGTCCGCATAATGCTTCATTCTTTGTTGAGCCTTTGTCAGATGTTCCTTTATGCAACCTGAAATTCTACTTCTCTCCTGAACCATATCAAACACTGTAGGCACTACTGAGTCCAGATAAGGTCCCAGTGGTAAAGGTGTAGGTTTGTATCCAAAAAGTGCTTCAAAAGGTGTCATGTTCAGGATGGAGTGGAAAGTGGAGTTGTACCACCATTCTGCTAATGGAAGCCACTTACTCCACTGTGAAGGAAGTTCACTTGTCATGCATCTCAAATAACTTTCTACACATTGGTTCAACCTTTCACTCTGACCGTCAGTCTGGGGGTGATAGGATGATGAGTAATGTAGCTCCACTCCCACTAACTTGAACATTTTCTTCCAGAACACACTAGTGAACACCCTATCTCTATCAGTGATGATAGATTCTGGTAATCCATGCATTCTGTAAATAAGATCTAAGAAATTCTGAGCAACCATCTTAGTTGTGAAAGGATGAGTAAGCCTGATGAAGTGTCCAAATTTAGTGAACCTGTCAATCACCACCAGAATAGTGTCATACCCCTGAGACTTAGGTAGTTTCTCAATGAAATCCATAGTGATGTGAAGCCACGCTTGCTTAGGCACAGGAATTGGCTGCAACAATCCAGGATAAGGAACATGCTCAGCTTTGTTCTTCTGACAAGTGTCACAGCTCTGTACATAGGCTATCATTTCCTGCTTCATTCCAGGCCAATAAAACAGAGATTTGAGCTTCTGCCAGCAGTTCTTCTGACCTGAATGCCCCCATAAAGCTGAGTCGTGTAAGGTCTGAATTAATTGGCTTCTGAGGTTGTTGGCACCTCCTACATAAATCTTCCCCTGGTACTTCAGGATTCCATCCAACAAGTTGTAATCCACATGGGAACTGGGGTCTAGAACTAGCTGGCTCAAGATATCCTGGCATTGAGAATCACCCTCATAGCTCCTCTGCAACTCTTCCATCCAACCAGGCCTAACAGAGGTGATAGCCAAACAGGACCCCATCCCTTTCTGGTGTGCAGGGTCATGCCTCCTGGACAAGGCATCTGCCACCTGGTTGTCAGACCCTTTCTTGTATTCGATTTTATAATCCAACCCCAAAGGCTTGGTCATCCATTTATGTTGGATAGCAGTGTTCAACTTCTGGTCCAGGAGGTACTTCAGTAACTGGTGGTCTGTCCTTATAATGAAGTGATTTCCTACTAAATAATGCCTCCATTTTGTGATAGCCATTACTAAAGTTAAGAGTTCCTTTTCGTAAACTGAGAGGCCTAAGTTCTTAGCTGAAAGTGCCTTGCTCAGGAAGGCAATGGGGTGGCCTTCTTGTATTAAGACAACCCCAATTCCTCATCCACTAGCATCTGTCTCTACCACAAAAGGCTTTTTAAAATCTGGTAACTGAAGAACTGGTGCTGAGCACATTAACTTTTTGAAGTGCTCAAAGGAATCCTGAGCTTGACTGTTCCATCTGAAATTGTTCTTCTTCAACAACTCAGTGAGTGGCTTACACACAAGGCCATAATGTTTGACGAACCTCCTATAGTAACCTGTAAGACCAAGGAAACCCCTCAATTCCTTAACTGACTGAGGCACAGGCCATTGAAGGATGCTACTGACTTTTGAATAATCCATGCTGACCCCCTGATCTGTGATGGTGTGGCCTAAGTAGTCAACCCTTGTCTGAGCAAACGCACACTTAGATTTCTTCACAAATAGCTGATGTTTCCTCAGAACCTCAAACAGAGTTCTCAAATGTTGGACATGAGCATCCATGGTAGGACTGTACACTAGAATGTCATCAAAAAAAATCAATACAAACCTTCTTAGATAAGGTTGAAACACCTGATTCATCAGTGACTGGAATGTTGCTGGTGCATTAGTGAGTCCAAAAGGCATGACCAGGAACTCAAAATGTCTACAGTGAGTCTAAAAAGCTGTCTTAAAGGTGTCTTGCTGCTTAACTCTGATCTGGTGGTATCCTACTGTGAGATCCAATTTTGTTTTATAGACAGAACCAGCTAGCTCATCCAACAATTCATCTACATTAGGTATTGGAAACCTGTCCTTGATGGTCATTTCATTCAATCTTCTGTAATCTACACAAAAATGCCAAGTTCCTTCTTTCTTTTTAACTAACAACACAGGGGAGGCAAAAAGACTATTACTGGCCTTAACTATGCCCTTTTGGAGCATTTCTACCGCCTGTTTCTCTATTTCCTCCTTGTGACAGTGAGGATGCCTGTAGGGCTTTAGTTTGAAGGGTTGTGCCTCTGGCTTGAGGTGAATTTCATGATCAACACTTCTGCTAGGGGGTAGGGAGCTGGGAGTTTGAAACACATCCTCATAGTCTTGAAACAACTCCAAGACTTCCTGTGGAATAGTCTCTACCCTTTCTTCTGTTTTACTCTTACAGTTCAGTGCCATGCACATTTGCCTCTTGTACTCGATGAATGTTCTCAGATCCTTTCCTCTAATTAAATCCATATCACAGTCCTCTGTCTGTCCATGTAAATGAATTTCATTTCCTTCATTGTGCAGGGTTATCCTGAGTTGTTGAAAGTCAAATGTAATAGGACTGAAGTGTGTCATCCAATCTACCCCCAGTATGATATCCCAACCTCCTAATTCCATCACCTTTAAGTCGAATATGAAACTGTGCTGGTTAATTTTCCATTGCACATTAGGATAGATAGCATTGCTGGTCACAGTGGTGCCATTTCCCATAATGATAGAGAATGGTTGTTTAACCCATTTGTACTCAATATCCATCCCAATTACCATCTCACTGTTGATATAACTATCCGAGCTTCCAGTGTCTACCAATATAAAGACCTTCTCCCCATCCAGAATTCCTGTCAGTGTAATCGTTTTCCTCTTTAGAGACTCAGACAATGCATGTAAGGACAGTTCCATGGTTTGCCCTGGATTTCCTGTCTGTTCATCCTGCTCCCCTATTGCATCTTCAAAGGCAGCATCTTCTTCATCCTCCAATACCATACAGTTCACATGTCCTAGCTTACACTGGTGGCCTATGCTGTATTTCTCACCACATTTGAAACACAGTCCTTTACTCCTCCTGAATTGTAGCTCCTGTGTTGAGATCTTTTTCAGCTCCTTAGTGTCCTGCACTATGTTACTGAACCTAGAAGTCTTAAGAGTATTATTGACAGAAACCTTATAGGCATTGTTGCCTCCAACTATGGTGTTTCCTTTTGAAATTCCAAACCTATTCTCCCCAGACTGTTTGGAGTTTTATGCTGCACTTTGAGCGAGTACTCTTGCCATTGAGATAGCTCAAAGGCCTCAATCAACGTAGCAGGTTTCAGCATTCTAATCATAGGTTTGATCTCCTCTTTTAAGCCACTAATGAAACTAGAAATGAAATAATTCTCATCCAAATTCCTGTTCTTAATCAACATTAATGGTTTTAACTCCTCAAATTTTTCTTGATATTCTCCCACACTGCGTTCTTGTAGCAATTTGTTAAATTCTTCTATCACATCCTGGCAAATACTATCTGAGAATCTTTTGCATAACAGATCTCCAAATTCAGACCAACTCAATCCAGGTTTTTCAAGTTTTACCCCTTGGAACCACTTATCAGCCATTCCATCTAAATACATCTCTATAATTTCGACCTTCTGATGATCCAGAATTTGATAGTTCATAAAGTATTTATCACATTTGCGCAACCACTCCCGAGGATTTTCCCCAGAAAACAACTACAAGTCTATCTTAGGTGGATTAGGAAGCTGAAACTTACCCCAATCTCTTTTGTAGGTATTCTGTTATTTCCCTTCAGATTGTAATCTCTGGTGAGTTGGAGGTGTAGGAAGAAGTGGCGTCTAATCCACCGTCATTCGTTCCTCTCTATCCGTGATCTTGTTCTTCGCAGCAGTCATCTTTGATAGGAGTGCAGTGAACTTCTGATCCAAGGAATTGCTGAAGTTCTGCTCCATTCCTGTCAACAGATTCTCCATTCGCTTGTTGTTTTCTTCCAATTCCAATTTCAGATTTTTTTTAAGCTGTTGTTGCTCTGATTGTTGGGAGAGCAGAGATTCCATCAGTTCTTGGAGCTTGACTTCTTGCCTTTTTACTTGCTCTTTCAATGATCTGAATCTCGTACCTTCCGCCATGACTTGTTCGTATTCCAAGGATCTAAACTCTGATTATCAATTGTTATGGTCTGGAGTAGAAATTATGTGATTGATAGGTGAAAGATAATGGAACGAAGATTGAGAAAGAGGGAAAGAGGAAACAGACGACAGAGAGAGAGAGATGAAAAGAGAGAAAGTGAGAAAGAAGACAACTGAATCTGTTTTTCCTGACTAACTGTACCATTGGGTCCCACATGTATATATTCAACAATTAAGCCTAACCGCCTTTAACTACCGTTTGAATATACATAATTGGAACAACATCGTTCTACCCAAAAATTCCTAATCCGCTGACCCAATTTGCTGATCCAATTACCCGAAACCTAACATTCGTCTTAGGGGGAGGTGGGGCTGTCACAGCTGGTATCAGAGCCTGCTTCGCATGGTCTCTACGCGGAGTGAGCCTGGACTGAGTGGTTAATAGGTATGAAGGATTAAATACTCGTTCGAGCATAAGTTATGAATTACGAATGTTATAAGTCCTAAATCTTTCCCGTAGTATCTAAGGATCATGGATAGGTACGTCGGGTAGGAATTTCGATTGTAAATAGTTTACTCTTGGGACTGGCCAGTTCGAGATGTGAATTGTCTTATTTCGGATTCTTGTGCTCGAGTATTCCAAAGTTGAGGTGGCGTTAAATACTTGAAAATTGTATTTTGGGAACATGAACAGGTTTTGTCTGGCTAGAATGAGCACAAGAGGTCAATGGATATCTAGTTTGGATAGTAAGTGACGTGAGAGACCGGACGGGGTTATTCAACTGAAACTAGGACGATATCGCCTTTTTTTTTATTTGTTCTTATATTATTATTACATGACGTTAGTTGGTGTATTTGTGCATATGATTATCTGTCTAATTTGATATGCCTTTGTGTATTTGATCATCTGTCTTCTTGATATATGGTGTGTTATGTGCTTATATGTTTATTTGTGTATTTGGTATGCTGAAATTTATTACTATAGTCAATTTACTGTGTTTATTCACTCAATTACCTTTTTGGGGGGAAAAGAAAAGAAAAGAGAGAGGGAAAATATATATATGGACGGGAGATGTAGTCGTGGACGTGGACGTGGCCATGGGAATAAACGAGCTCAAGAGCCAAGAGAGGAAAGGGAAACAACAGCTGCACAAGAGCAAGGACCGAGAGTTGAAACCGGGGACCAAATGGCGACGGCAATTCAACAAATGACAAACATTTTAGCAAGGTTGGTGGACCAACAAGGTCAAATACCTGTGAATCAACCTCCGAACCCTGAAATAGGAGAAGATCGGGCTCTTGAGAGGTTTCAGAAATTTACTCCTCCGAAATTCCTTGGAGGGTCTGATCCGGATGTAGCCGAACAGTGGCTGGAGGCCATGATCAACATCTTTGCAGCTTTGAACTATACCAAACAAAGGCAAGTGAACTTTGCGGTATTTCCATTTGAAGGACCGGCCCGAGCATGGTGGAACGTGATTAAGGCAAAGTGGGAAAGAGAACAAACTGTATGGACATGGGCTAACTTCCTAAGGGAATTTAATGAAAAGTATTTCCCACCTTTAGTCCAAGAAAGGAGGGATGATGAGTTTATTGGACTACGCCAGGGAACCCAAAGTGTGGCTGAATATGAAACGAAATTCACCAAACTATCCAAGTTTGCTTCCAAATTAGTGGCCACGGAACCGAGAAGGGTAAGACGATTTATACAGGGGTTGAATCTAGAAATTCAAGAAGCACTAGTGGCGGTTCAAGTGAATACGTTTACGGAGGCCTTTGAGAAAGTCCAACGAATCGAGAATGTAAAAGTACAGATAAAGGCCTCCCAAAACCGAAAAAAGGGTACACCTGGTAGTGTGACTGAGGAATCAAGTGAATCGATAGTCCCTTTCAAAGTGCAGAAAGTGAACTTTTTGTCCCACCCACCATGGACAATAGGGGCGTTAGATGAACGATCTACAAAAAAAAGTCAAGTAGGCCATGGGGAGATTTTTCAAAAAAGCCAACAAGTGGTTTCTTCCTTGACTTGTGGCTACTGTGGAAAGACCAATCACACTGAGAGTGATTGTTGGAGGAAAGGGCGGAAGTGTTTGATTTGCGGGAGTGGTGACCACCAGGTTAGCAACTGTCCGAGGAAACAGTCACGTGAAAGTAGTACCCAGCAATTGGAGGGCACTAAATCAAAACAAGCGAATGAAAGAGGAAACCGAACAAAAGTACCGGCAAGGGTATATGCTTTAGACAACCAACAAACTCCTGAGCCATCTGAAAGTAAAAATTTCGAGGACGAAATGTTTTAAGGGGGAGAGAGTGTGAGGACCCAAAAATTTTCACATTTTCTTAGTATTATTTTATTTCTTTGACTATATTTTATACTTTCCTTGAAAATATTAAATTTTCTATGCATTTTTACAAGTAAGTACAATTTTAAAATCATCTTCCTAATATGAGTTAGTGTACGTTAATTTGAAGTGTATTATTGACGTGGGACCCGTTATGCGGTAAATGCGATATATTTTTGACAACTTGTTGGAGTTTGGTTAAGTGATATTATTTTACAAGGTGCTAAGAGATAATTAAAAGTTACCTATATGGATTAGTATTAGAGAGACAAAGAGATAAGCTTACGCAAGCAAGGTGCCAAGTGTCACAAACCCATTGGATGTTGGATTTGACCAAGACCTTCTTAACTTTCCTAAAATCAATTTTGACTCAATTTTCTCTCATTTTTCTTATGTCTTGGCTGAACCTCTTGAGGAGGAAAACAAGAGAGAGCTCTTCAATTTCTAGCTTCTAAATTTGCTCAAATCTTGAGTTTCAACCAACCAAATTACAAACCACACCATACAAGTGATCATCAGGGAAGGTTAAAGGTGTTGGTGAAATTGTTTTAGAGGAGGAAAGATTAATCTCCTACCTTTCTTATGATTTTAAGGTATTTTGCCTAGAATATCCTCTTTACTTCAATTAATTGCTTATTAGTGGTTTTTAGTTGCTTTAGATGTTGTTTTGTGGAAGATTAGCACTTGAATGTATGAATTCCAGCTTGGATGATAACCTGCCCTGCTTCTGCACGATTCTATTTCACCTTGTTAAAAGCCGAACTAGCCTTAGTACAAAACATAAAAGTTGTAGAGAATAATGTTTTATAGTTTCCTGCAAAATTTCAGCTCAATCGGAGTAACGTAACCTGTGAAAAGACCGAAATACCCCTGCTACCCTGTTTCTGTCCGAAAATGAAAATCAGCCTCTGTAAGTGGTTAGTTTGACCTGGAATATTACCGAATTGGTTGATGATGTCTTCTTAAGAATTATAGCCTTGTATCTTAGCTTTCAAATGACTTTAAAATTACCTGAATTGGAGTTGTTTGTGCTGAGATATGAGTGAATAAAGCAGGACTGCTAGTTGATTTCTGCAGTGAATTTCGAACTGGAAAACCTGGAGATTTTTGGTAAATTTGACCTAGTTAGGGTGAGAACTGGACTGAGTGGTCTTCATGAAAGTTGTAGGTCTTTGTCTTAGCTTTTCAACGCCTCCAAGAACGTCTTAAACAGACTTTGGTAACCTGCAATATGGCCATTTAAAGGTAGTACGGTTAATTAGCCGATTAGTTGGAATTTGGTTCTGGAAATTGGGAATTTGACTAGGTTACACTGGAATTTGGACTTAGTGGTCTTCATCAAAATTATAGCCCTCTGTCTTATCTTCGAAACGGTATAAATTACATCCCAATCCGATAAGCATAGCTTCGGATGTGTCCGTTATGCAAAACCCGTCAAATCTGTCTTTTGTTAAACTTCATTTCTGCACATGTTGTTAGCTTGATTTTTGTACTTATATGACTTTGAGCCTATGGAATGGCTATTGAAATGAGATGATATTGTGTGTGACTTTGGGATTGATTGAGGAAAACAATGAAGCCATAAATGGTTGAAAAAATAGGTAAATACAAAGGGTGTGCTGCCCCAATTTTCGCTCGAGGGCTAAGTTTCTATTTGAATTTTTATATTTTCATTTGGCAAATACTATGACCATTTTCCATCTTAAAACATGATCTTTCTTCAATTGGAAATTTCAAATGTTTACTTACGCTTACCAAATAAAAAGGAGTGGTTTAGGATTTTCTTGGGTATTTTGTCCTCCCTTTTACATGAATTTCATTAAGATATTTAGTCTATAATATTTACTTGAATATGAGATGATTTTGAACCATATAAACGATTCCGAAAATAGTATTTCTTAGCCTATCTAGTTGGATTCCGACTTGTCTTTGGTTCAAGTGTTTCCATTGGAAAATTTTATAACCCTTTTGAGTTGGGTTTTACGTTTCGACTATGAAACCCTAGTTATTTTTGTCCACGAGTCCAAATGTCCTCGTTTCATTTTAAAGTCTTTTATACGTTTTACTCATCAATTGTCGAGTTCTTTGATTTCACCTAATTGTTTGTGTTAGATGAGCTGTAATATTCTTTCTTATTTAATCTTA